AAACGGGTGCGTGCATGCAACTCGCTTAAGAGTGAAGAACAAGCGATTCGTGCCGCGCGTTTCGCATGGCCAAGAGGGTTCAGTGTACCGAGCCAAGGCCACGGGGCAGGGCACCGCCCCACTGAACCAATTGTGCCACTTTTATGCTTCTCGCCTCATTTTCGCTGCCTTTTATTACTCATAAAACTGAGAGACCGTTTCTTCCAACACCCATCTTTCTATTTTCCCTATTACACACTTCACCTTTCCCTTTTATTTTTTATTTATTCCTATCATTGTTTTTCTTTTCTTTTTCTTTTTACATTCACGTGTGTTACAGTTCGTACATTGGATTTTCTTTGTTTCGATTTATGCAATAATCAGAATAATTCTAAGTACAATGTATTTTATCTTGAATATCGAATGATGATGATGATGATGATGATCATGATGTAGAATTTATTCAACACTGTTTTTTTTTAACAAAGATTGGAATAATTCTCAAGGTAATTTACATGATTCCAATAAAAAAATAAAAAAAGGTGTAATTTTTCTATGTATGCAAGTGTCTAACATATTCAGGAGGTAGCACAGGTAGGTGCGACAGAGACATACGATATGTACAGATACCTACATACGTGGATGCATTTGAAGGGCACCAAGCCATGGTGACTCATCGATGGCTACGACGACGACGACGACGACGACGACGACGAATCGAGGGGAATCAATGTCAGCCAATTTTGCTAGTATCGATCCTTGTGCCCTATTACGGTTCAATCGTTTCTTGCCATACTTTTCTACTCATATGAAAATTCGAATCATTGTTGTGTGATATATATACTACGATTATTAATAAAAACAATTTGTAAATTTTGATAACAAAAAAAAAACTGATGTACGTAAGTAAAAGTTATACTTCTTTAACGTACCAAAACGAACATAACCTCAAAAATAACTTCAATTATCTCGCGTACCAATATAATACTCTAAATTTGTCGAAAATACGATAATATGATAAAATAAAATGTGAAGATATTAAATACCATTGATAAAGATTTTTAATTAATATCTACAATCTAATTTATTTATTTACGAATTACTTCATGCCGATAAATTTGAAATTGCTTTTCCCGCGCATCGTAAATATCGAACAACTTCGTGGTGTCGATTTTTCGGTCGCATCTAAATTCACTTTCCAAAACGCGCCATAAGAAGTATAACTTCAAAAATTGTATCCATCTGTTTGTCTACTCCCTTATTCAGCAAAAAGAATAGAAAAAAAAAATATTTATATATATGTATGAACAAGATTATATCTATGGGACTCGGTAAAATAATCGACATAAGCCGTGAAGCCTGGGTGTCACGCGAAAACGTGTCAGAACGGTTCGGAAGAAGGAAATAAGGGTCGTCAAGCTTAAACGCAAACCTAAGTCCAGGAGTTTCAACCAAGGCATTTGCGAACCCCGGGAAATGCGTTTGAGTTTGGGAACCCCCAGACTGGAGGGGATTGACCCAGACACCCCCTCCAGCAGACGAGAATCTCCCTCCCCACTTTGGAACTGTGCACAGAACACTCCCCTCTAAAATCCCAAGAGCCGACGTCGCGACTGGAGGGGGTGCGAAAAACCCTCACTCTTTCCCTTCCTAACCCCCTCTCACCCTCCCTGTCTCTCTTCCTCCCTTTCTATCCCCCTTTCATTTCAGCCCGCTTGATAAAACGTTGCACCGCCCACGCAAGATTCACCAACGTCCGTGTTATATTCCCTCATCGATTTGTTTGCAACTGGACACGTTTCTATCCATCTTTTAACGACTCCAAGTCTTCTTCTTCTTCTTCTTCTTCTTCTTTCTCTTTTCCTTTCAATTTATTCGATACTTATATTATGTCTTTCCGTGTCAATTAAAAAATAATAATGATTTCGTGCTAAGTTGATTAATTGATCGTTAAACGAACACGTGAATAAAATACCAACCCCCTCCCTCCCAATAAGATTCGTTAAGTCGAAATAAGATTAAGATTATAATCGACCCTTTCATTGATCATCGATTATCAATCTTACGATTTTGTTTTATTGAAGCTAAAATAAACAGTAAACCCCAAATAAAAGGATTCGTTGGTATAGTATCGATTATTTCATCGTACAGTATTTTTTTTCTCTGTCAATAAAGGAAAGAAAATATATTGTAGACCATTGGAACCATTGTGTCTTTTTTTTTGTCAACAATCTCGTGCAGAAAAAAAAAAGAAGAAGAAGAAGAAAAGAAGAAATAAAAGACCCTTATAATCGTCTGGACGAAATGTTTTCAAAGTACCCAACTACCAACCAACTAGTAGGGGTTGCGAACAACCCCCCCATCCCTGTTACCCCCTCAAAGAAGAAGGTAAGCGAACAGACGGAGGAAGCAACGGTGAAAAAGGGGTGACCTAGACGACGACACCCTCCCCTACCCCACTCACCCATCCCTCTCTCTACGCGACTTGTTTGCAAATGGGTTCAGTTAGCCCATTGGATAAGAATCGTAGTGTATAATAGTATCGTAATCGTTCTGGTAACATGAGACCTATCGAAAACCGATGATAGGTTGTTGTTTTTTCTATGCCAAGGTTGTGAACTAATCGATGGACAAAAAAAGAAAATTGCAATTTTTCTTTATCAATAATTTTGTCCTACATTTTCTTTCTTTTTTATCATCTAACTAACGTAAAAAAAAATTTTATTCGCATAAAATTTTTTTTTCACTGATTTCCATTATCATTCTTCTCTTGTTATTTTCTTATTTTATTAAATTTAATTAAAAAAAAAAAAACATATATACGAATCAACGAATTAGAATTTAATTTAATCCCTCGTCGCGCGTACTTGAGTGTAATTTTTTTTTTTGGTTAAAATGTAAATTATTCGATTTCGTTAATTGTTTATTACTTTTTGATCTAACATAAGAAAAATATGAAATAATAATAAAATTGGAAGCAAGAGAGTGAGAGAGAGAGAAAGAGAGAGAATATGGTTGTTGTTTTGTCGAGGTAGGAAGGAAGATAGGAAGAAATAAAGGCAGGAAGGAAGAAAGGAAGATAGGAAGGAAGGGCGGATGAGTACGTTGGGAGGGATAGGAGGATGGAAAGTGGGATAGAGGGCGGCCATGGTGTTGCTGACCCGACGACCGCTCTAACCTTCCATCCCAACACCCCGCACCCCGAGCACCACCATCAACATTCCGTTCTCTATTTCCAACTCAACTCCTAGACCAATAGACGACTTTTCAATACCACACTTTACTGCTCTATCATCTCTTCCAAATATTCCTCCCGTCCCCTGGCCCCCCCCCATCCCCTCTTCCCCATATCATTTTCCTATTCCAACATTCTTATTACAATTTTATTTTTTTTTTTTTGATCTTTTATATTATTTATAATAAATGATTTTTTTATTTTCTTTTTTTTTCTCTATGTGTGTGTTTCAAAAAGTCAGACAAAGGGACCAGAAGTTTATAAGTAGAAGAAGAAGAAGAAGAAGAAGAAAAAGGGAAAATTATATCAATGAGAGAGAAACGAATAGAAAATTATTTTTCAAAAAAAAAGGATATATATATATATATAAATTTAATAATTAATAATATTATTTTTTAAATGTTACCTTGTTTTTTTTTTTTGTTAAACTCGTTTGTAATTTATTTCAATTTAATCTCGTGCATTGTATTATGCAACGCGGGGGAAATAATTCTTCTTTTTTCCTAATTAAACATTTGTATTTTTGAATCAAACAAAATTCTCTCTGCGGAAGTCGTATTTACAAGGGTAAATTACCAAATGAATATTCGAAAAGAGTACGGGGAGGGGTTGTAGAACTTCAATTGACATATTTCAAATTAATCCGTTCAACTATTTAATTAACAAACGTGTAATATGTTTGTTAATGCATATGCGTGTAACACAGCCAAAGTGCATTCGCACGAATTCGTAGAAATAAAATTGATTGGTTAATTGACGTATGTGAAAAATTTCCCCTCCCCCCCCCCCCCCCCAAAAAAAAAAAAAAAAAAAAAAAAAACCGATATGTACCACGGACGAATAAGTTTTTTTTTTTTTTAAAGTTATAGCTTAGTTCTTTGTATGGTTCAGTTTAGAAAAGCAAAGAGGAGGTTTAAATGTCTTTTTTTCTTCTTTTTTTGTTTCTTTTTTTTTTTCGTCGACAAAAGTGGACGTAGCTTACAATGGAATCGTTGGATGCGGCACGCAACAACCCTCGTAGAGTGCAGGTCGTTAAAAATAGGCTACCGATGCGCACGCGTCTCAACGACAAGGTCACACTACGTCACCCTACGCGTGGGTCAGAACCCTTGATTATATCTTAACACCAGTTAGTTCACTATAATCTTATTCTTTAATCATTTTTCTAACACTATACGAAAAAGAAAAAAAAGAAAGAAAGAAATTTTGTCAAATGATCGCAAATATTCTAACAATCATTTTTCATTAGAATTTTTTATCTCGATATAAATAAGTTTTTATTTCAATGATATGTCACGTAGAAAAACAATGCCATACGTAATCGTCATTTTTATTTTCTATGTTTAATTATTTCAAATTCAAATAAAATAAAATAAAAGAAACAAATTAAATTTTCCAAACCCCCTTTAATTTATATTCGAATTAAGAAAAGAAAGTATTGAAACCGTATGAAATAGCATCTTACGTGAAGATAACAAAGTTTTTAATTAATCTTTTAAAGGTATCTACCTTACCGATAATGTGTACTTATCCATAAATAAAAATCTACCTTTACCATCATCGGTAAATAATCGCAGGAACATTACTAGAATCATTATAGAATCAAATATATGAAATATTAAGAACAGGAAGAAAAAATACAAAAAAGAAATAAAAATCTGCAATAGTGTTGATAACGGTGGAGGGTAATACAGATTGTAAATAATTTGAACGTAGGAATAAAAGCTTAGTGTAATCGCCAATAGGTGCGCTATCATCTTGCATGATATTCATGGTTCTCAGCGAATAGCCACGAGCTAGCAGCAGCAGCCTATAGAGCCGCCATATTGTGTTACTCTCGCGAAGTGGCAAGGAAAAACATTGTGATCACGTGGCGAAAATTTTTCTTATATCAAAAGAACGATTACGGAAGAATCGAAGAAGCTTTACGAATCGTTCGAATATCATTATCGTGATCGTTGTGTTAATAATAATATACCACCAACGTTAAACCTCGCGAAGATTTTTACTAAAGAAAAAAGAAAAAAAAAAAAGAAACGAAAAGAAAAGAAGACCGGTAAGTATAGTATTATCGGTGTGTTAGAAGGAAAGAGAGAAAATGAGAAAGGGAATGGGGGAGGAGAGAGAGAGAGAGAGAGAGAGAGAAAGAGACAGAAATAGAGAAATCTTATGCTGCCACGCGGTTCGAAATATCGTGTCCGGTATTCTAACCGTCATTAATACACCTACCTTCTTTTTTTTTTTTTAACCTTTTAAATTCAAACATTTGTTCGATATCAATTTAAACGATTTTATATTTGTCAAACAAATTTTTCATTGAAGTTATTTTCATATTAATTCTTTCATAGTCATCGAGATACATCAATCAAAAAACGGCTACTGTTAATCGTTCCGGCCGGAGGCATGAGCTTTTATCTATCTCTCTCTCTCTCTCTCTTTCATCCTTTCTCTTTCTTTCTTTCATTTCTCAATATGGACAGTAGTAAACTATTCTCTAGTATGATATAATTCTATATATATATATATATATTACATTTTATTGAATAAATGTGTATTATTCTCTCTTTCTCTCTTTAAAATTATTTTATAACATCGATCTGATTGGTTGGTGTTACTGTGTTGTAATGTTTTTGTCTAGCTTTAAAAAAAAAAAAAATATAAATATATATATACGTATATAAGAGGTTAGAATTAGCATATTAGAAGAATAAGATGGTGTTCTATAATCCGAAACTTGAATAGTACGGTATTTAAGTAGTAAGACGCTGAGTGAACGACATCTGGAAATAGCGTGTGTATCCGTAGAACGTTCTATGGCCTGTTAAACTCTTCCCTTTCCCTTCTCTCGTGTCTTGATTCGTGGTGGTTGTATGTGAAATAATTCACAACCACCACCACCACTACCAACACCAACACCCAATTCCAACATTACCAACACTTGGGCACGACTACTATTCTCTCAATAACGATTGGATACAACAAGATTGTGTTGGGCGACCCTAAATACCCTTTATGGTCTTGAAACCTTATCCGTTTAATATTATTTTTATTAAACAATAAATAAAATTTTTGATAAATATTTTTCCTATACATTTATTTTGTATTTTTCTTGTGTTATTCTTTATCTATTTATCATCATTTTCTTGTCTTTTCTTTTATTTTTTTTTTATTTTTGGCTAGAGGAAAATACCAATTTCATCTATACTTTATTATCATTGTATACTTAGTTTATCATGGTACGTGATATATACAAAGTTAACGTGATGTTAACTCATGTAATATTCGATCTTATCATTTATAATAGTAAGCAAAAGTATTTCTCCCTTCAATTTGTTGCTAATATTCTATAATCAAAAATATAACGTCATTAATGTTTATTATTTGTTTCAATACTTTTGTTTTGCATTGTTACTTTCCTCTCCCCCTCCCTCTCTCCTATCAATTAACGTTACATCGAAATAAACAAATTTCATTTGAACGAATGATATTTCAATTTTAATAATAAAAATAATATACGCAGTTTTTTTTTGTTTATCTTCGACATATTATTTCTTCCAGGATTTCGTAGGAATACATATTTTATTATTTTACACACACGTTAACCATTATTATTGTAATATTTATTTTAATTGTTTGTTTAACTCGTCAAAATATTGTTTGTTTCTTTATTTTGTTGTTTTCTTTTTTCTGTTTTTTTTTTTTTTTACCGTGCGGTAATAAAGACAAGAAAATCAAAAATAGCGTCATTCAAGATGGCGGAAAGGTTTGCATTAGAGTCATACACGTATATGTTTGTTAATTATAAATTGTATCGAACCAAAGGAGGATTGATTCGTCTTATCGATGTGAAACCGGACCAGTTTTAGATTTTTCAAACGGTACTCCACTTTTTTTTATTTCTTTTTGTTTCCTTTTCTTTTTTTTCTTTTTTTTTCTCTGGTCTCCTCCCTTCTCTCGTATAACGGGTGTCTTTCAACGTGTGTATTCGAAGATAAAACATATCTTTCTTGAACTATATTATCCGATGTTTGATTTGTGTCAAACTTCGTGGGAATGATTGATTTTCATATTTTATAATTTTGCTTTTCGGCAAATTACAAAAAACAATAATTTATATTTTGATTAATGATTTACGATAAATAAAAATATTATTTATGTTATTTTTAAACAATCACAAAAAGGTAAAATATATATATATAAATGTGTATTCGAATGAATGTAAACATGCATAGTGATTCATTGATCATTTAATAACTTTAAACGTGTTACGGTGAAGTTATAACACACAAACATGATTCATTCCTAACCTTTTTTTATCTTATGGCCAAATGTCGTGTTTGTATGATATAAAAAAACCTATTGGAATGACCTTAGGAATTATATTTATCACCCTTATCTTATTTGCTTTCTCTACTGTAAAGTTTAGGTAATGCAATTTTGTTATCCATTAAAAGAAATAGAAGAAGAACAAGAAGTTACAGGAATTGGGATTGGTGGGAAGGGAGGAAAAAATAATTTTTTTTCTTCTTCATCAATCAAAATACTTGTTTGTTGAAACACAAGTTTTTCTTTTTTAATTATTGTTTATTACTTATTATCCACTTATATCGCAGTTATTGTTGTTCGTATGTATTCGGCAATGGCTCACGGTTACTTCATCGGGTTTATCGTGTTCAGGTTCGACATTCCAAGAGCACGTTGAACTTCGTACCTTGCATACATATGTCCTGCTTGTATAACGAGCCACACAATGTGTAAATTTTGTTCATAGATTATTATCGATATTCCTATTTGAACCTTTCCTTCTTCGTATATATATATATTTTATTATCGTTATTGTAGATACATATTTTGTTTATCGATATAATATACATATTTTTTCTTTTTTTTTTCTAACTTTATCCAGGATACAAACACAGACACGTTTGTCTATGCATTATCTCGTAAAAACTTTTTCGAAATAAATAATTAAATTAAATTTCAACGTGTTTAAATTATCCTTTATCGATTTGTATAATATTAAATCTTATAATAATCATCCGAATTATTAAATTGTTGTTCCTAAATTCCCTAGATCCCCTAGTGATGATAGAAAACTTAAGAAGACCCAATAAATAAAAGGAAGTTGCAATGAAGCAAACAAGTTCGAAGTGAAACGACCAATCCCCTGTCCCTTTTCTCTTTCCTACCTTCGAAGGGCCGAAGGAACGAACCGAACCGAACCGAACGAACGACCGGTCGCTTACCGGTTTCGTTTCGATTCCATTTTTTTTTTAACTTCATGACTCCTTCTCCTTTACGTCGAACAGTATACCGCAAGAAAGCATCCCCCTCTTAAAAGCAACATCACCTTGGCCAATCTCTTTTCTTACCTTTCGAAAGCTTACCTGCAAGTAACAAGGCCGATTAAGCTCAATCAACCTACCCCCTCCACCCCACCCCACATGCACGCATTTTATTTATTTTTTAATTTTTTTTCTAGTTATTATTTTTTTCCAGAGGGTGGGGTTTGATACTAGAAATCCTGTTTTCGGATGTGTGTGTGTTGTATGTGTGTTTTGTATGTTAAATTACAAATTGATTGATTTATTTATTTATTTTTATTGTCAATGTGCATTAGGGTTTTTTTTTATTGGTTTCTTATTTTCTTTTTTTGTTTCTTTCCCCAAATTAAATATTGTATTACTATTGATTGTGCGTGAGAAAAATAATTTGTTATATCATGCACGCGCGCGCGCGCGCGTTCGTGTGCATAGTTTGCTTAGTATTGTTTATTATGAATTCTCGCTTTTTCTTCTTGTTCTTCTTTAACCGTGACAATACATTCAAGAAGAATCGTGTTTCATGAATGAACGTAAAGGAATCTTCGCATGTATACACACGTGTACGCTCGAGTACACACGAGCGTATCTTACAGATGACTCGAATCAATCGAGAATCTTTTTTTTTTTTTTAATTCAATTATAAACGGTAATTAATTGTTCAATTAATTAAAACATCGATATATGATTATTTTATTTAAATAGAAATAAAATATCTTTCAGGTAAATATAAAAAAAAAAATTAATACAAATACGTATATATTTTATTTATTTATTTTATTTATTTATTACATTTATTTATTTATTCTTACGTCTAAAAAGTATTTATTAAATATTTTAATGAAAATTGATGAAACATCTCGACATGATAATCTAAATGCAATTATATCGTTTAATCGATATCAGTTAACGATTTAAAAAGTAATTAAAACGTTGTTATAGACAATTTTAAAAAATTATTATGTCGAGATAATCATTAGAACTTTCTTTATCTGTTAATGAGAAAAATATCATTTTATGTAGAAATAAGAATTTCACAATTAATTTTAAGTGTATACCGAAAAACAATCGTACACTTTAAAGGAACGTATTAATAATCATTTTTATTTTTTGTGAAAGTTTAATTAATATATAATTAATATTATAAATATATATATATTTTTTTTTGTATATCTAAAAATTTAGTTTATTATTTATACGTTTATTAATATTCTTTTGTTTGTTTTTTTCATTTATATTTAAGAAACAAAATGATAAAATATATTAGAAATCATTGTAAACGTAAAGTAACAGGTTGAGTTGTATTTTAATACAATTACCTAATCGTCATCTTAGATTTCATATTATTTCACGAACGAAACCAAACCGAAATTGAATATCGATATTCGTTAGACTATTACCTTTCTAATTCTTTAATCTAACGTATTTATTAGTTAGATGTCCTTTTTTTTCCATCATCTAATATTACTTTGAGCGCCCGCACAAATGTCTCGTATATCATCTGTAATAATAGTTTTATAATTTTTCCTATCGATTTTATGAGATATATATATATATATATAAATGCTTAAATTATCCTATTTATTTTTTGTAACAATAATTTGGACGTTTTTTTAACGAACAAAAAAAAGAAGAAAAAGAAAAATATATATACACTCTTCTTTTTATTTTTGATTTGCGTTACGTTGAATAAATCCGAGGTAATGGAAAAAAAACAACTTAACAATTCAAAGGAAAGAAAAATTGAAAAAATTGGTAGTGATAGTTTTGTCAAAGACTATAGTTAAATTTCGACTGTATATATTCACGTATTGAAAAGAAAAATAAGAAAAGAATTCCTAAGTTTTTAGAATTTTCTCATTCGAAACAGTTCTAATCCTGCAGTTTCTTCCATTTCTTTATTTTTTTAGGGGGGAAAAGTCTTCTTCTTAAAATACAATAGAATTAAACCTGAACGATACAATGAATTTTCTTAAAAAGAGAAATTTTTCTAATTTCGTTTCTATCGTACGAAACTTTTCCTTATTTTGTTCGATTTTGTTTAAATTAAATTATATACACGTATTTATATATATATAAAAATAAAAAAAAGGAATAAAAGTATATTCTCAAATTGTAAAATCACTATAATAAAAAAAAGAAAGAAATAAATTAAAATATAATATAATATTAAAAAAATAAAACACATATCTTTTATATAAATATATCGTAGATAAATTATAATCATTAAATATAAATAATTAAACGAGCTTAAAATTAATACATAAACTTTTCTTCCCTTATTTTATTTCATTTATTTAAATAACATTCTATTAATTTCATTGACACAAAAGAAAATAATTCATAAAATTATATTTTCAAATTCCATATATCACATATATAAAATACATAAATATTAAAATAAAAAAAAAACAATATATATACAGTAACAATTCGACGAATGTTGCATTATTTATCAGCTTTTCGTTTCCTATTTTCGGAATATAAAAAAGAAATGTAAAAAGAACGTGGAAGGTTCCGGGAATTTGGGGACATTTTTCTAAGGGTTGGTACTAGAGGTGGCAAAATAACTTTTGATGGTTCCTAAAAGTTTAAGTAAGAAGAATTGGGGGTTGGCAGTGGGAGTGGTAATGGGGGGGGAGGGTGGTCTTTAAAATATAATTCAACAGGCAGGGGGGTATTGGTCAAATATTTGGTAAAATTGAAATTGTTGGAAGGGAAATTTGACGAGCATGAAATGCCGCTACGATCGAACTTGTTCCGTTGTGAACATCCCTTAATGTTGTTCGCGCATGCGCACAAGCCTTTTTCTCCTTCCCCCTCTTTCACTCTACCTCATTTCACCTATCCGCAATCTTCGAGCAATATAACCACGTGTATTGGAAAATCCGTTCAGTTCGTCTTGTGCCAAGCCTACAAACGGCAGTGTTCTCTTAAGTCTTCCATCTGTTTCTTTCACTGATCATTCCACATTTTTTTTCAACAAAAATTTACGATACCATCCCCGATCAACAACAACCGGCGGTTCTTACGTTTTTTTTTTTCTTTTTTTTTTTTTTCTTTTTTTCCATTAATTTGATTTTTCGATTGAAAAATTAACGTGCTATTTGATAAAATTAGTTTTCAATTTATCGCACTATTTTCGAAACAAAAAAAAAAAAAGAAACGTTCTTACGGTTATTATATTATTTTTTTTCCTTCTTCTTCTTTTTGTATTACCGGTGTGCGCGGTTTTTTTCTTTTTTTTTTTTTTTTTTTTTCTAATATTCGTATCATCCTACCTTCCGCCCCTCCCCCCTCCACTTGTTTACTCGTCGAAAGATATCTTATTTTAAATTTGATTGTAATTTTCGTTTCTTCGTATCTTTTCGTTTTAATTAAAAAAAATCATATGTTATAGTTTTTTTGATTTTTGTTTGGTGGTGGGTGTTTTACATTAATTTAAAATTGTGCAAGTGAATAAACATTGTTATTATTAATCATCATGGATCTCTTGGTAAGTTTATATTGCTGTTATTATATAAAATATGGCCAAACAGCATAAGCGTCATCCCTTTCTCCCTTATTTCTAGAAACTTGTTTGCTGCTTCTTCTTTCTATATAATACACGCACACACATATATATATATATATATATATATATAGACACACACCCATTTATATTCTTTTCTTCCCTTAGCTTTTTCCTCGGGACATTCCCTAAGATTTTCTACCCGAAAGAAGGAAAATGGGGGAATATAGGTTAAGATTTCCAAACCGATTTCTGTTACGACAGAGATTTATTCTTCTTTTTTTTTTTTTTTTTTTATATATATTTTCAATCGTTTAATTATATTAATTCACACTTTTTTGTTTTTCGTCTATCATTCGATCGCTCGCTCGCTCACTCTCGCAATTTCATTAAATTTTCATTAGAAATATTTAAAGAAGAAGAATACGTGGTTTTTATTAAACTTTGAGTTGATATTCTCACGAAATTCTATATTAATCTTTTATCTCGAACTAATCGATTTCTATAATTATCTTAACTACTCGATCGATAAGTTAACCAATTTCATTGGATAAAGATAAATAAATCCACGTTTTAATGTTACAATTATTTACTTTGATGCATTTTTCTTGTGTGTGTGTGTGTGTGTCTATGTGTTTCTCTATTTCTATGAATATAATATTATTTTGTCTCGTCTTTGTTTAATTTATTATGTATCTTTTTCATTGTATAGTTAAAATCGTAGTAAGACACATTTGTTCTTCCTCATTATCTTTCATCCCCTTATGAAATTATAATAACAATAACGAATATTTTTTTGAACTATAGATAAAAGAAACTTTTTACTTTCTCTCAAAGTATTCTGTTCGAACTGTGAATAATCTTCTCCTTTTTATTGTCAAATCTATTTCGTTTTTCTAACATTTTTACCTGCGATCCCTTAAGGCAACATTTTCCTTTTGTAATCCTTGAATCCTTGAACCTTTTTTACTCCCACAGCACCCCATTTTCTTTTTCATCTTTTGGTTATTCGTGTTAGGTAGAAAAAAAAAAGTTTCTAACGTTTCGTATAATAATAATAAAAAAAAAAAGAAAAATCATGGAATATTATAACAGTAGATTTAAACATTTATTTAATTTATCCATTTATTTATTTGTTCATTTTTGTTAGTTGTATTTTTAACATTTTACATTGTAACGCGTGAATTCAATTTTACGCGCGCTTTTCTATCTCTCTATCTCTTTCTTTCGCGTGTGAACAAATTTTACGAAATAAGATAGCTTTTGAAATTGGAATAACTTCGTTTATAGAATCGTCATTTTATCGTGCACTCGTTTGAAAAAGACAAAAAAAAAAAAAATTTATGCAATTCTGCTCTTATCGATAATATTATCGTGAAACGAAAACGTGCGTCTTTTAAAACCGGAAATAATGTTTTTACTACGCTAGGCTCACGATATAAAATGGCGTGAATATTCAAAAAAATACAACAATGCGTTTTTGACGCGATTAAAACTTCTTCGATATTTCTCGTAATATTGTTTAACAATAGGAGAATTAAATTATTACGCCAATGTGTTATAAATTGTTAATAAACTCTTTTTTTTACACAATATTCGATAATATTAATTTTATTTTTGTTTTTGTATTTCAGATTAACGAAACTGTTATCAATAGTTTTTACCGTGGATTTGAAATATGTCATCCATACATTATCAAATTATAAAGTGGAGCTTTCCGGCTGTTGCTTTGATCGTTGGTCTTTTCTGGTACAAGCGAAAAAGCGCAGACAGAGCTGATCCTGGTGGAATAAGCACATCAAACGTGTTAGAGACCATCGACAAATTAAAAGCTAGTTCTTCGAGGGAGAACGTTAATCTTTCTGATTCTGGTATTAATGCCAATGATTCTTACTCGAGTTTACATGCTCAGAGTATAGAAGAACCAATTAATAATTGTAAAGAAATTAGCGAGCAAAAAATAGGTATATCAACAATGATGCCATTAGCAGCATTACCTGTTTTGGTGCCTGTCCCAAGTTCTTTGGAAGAAATTCATTCTTGGTACGGGAATGTTGAAAATATCTGTCACAATGAAGTATTATACGAAAATCATCCTGATGCTAGCGAATTTCAAATGGCAACCGGAAATGTTGACACTACTACTAATTATTACAATAATGTAACTAATAACAGCGAAAATATGCAAAATGTATATGTAAATAATATCGATATAGAACAACAGAATAACGAACAATTATTATCACCTTCCATGGATAAGCAAAATGAGATTAATCATACATCAGATATAAATAATGAACAAACGGAACAAATACAAAATTATCCGCCAGAGGAAGAAAATAAAAATCAAACTCAAGCATTGTCAGAAAGAGATTCGGCAAATTATAGTCCAGTTTCTGGTGTATTGGAAGGAAGCGTTACGGATGAAGCTAGAAGTGAAGGAAGTACGGATAGTGGAAAAGGTGAATATTTATTATTACAATGTGAACATACAATTTATATTATTAAATCTGTTATATTTAATATTTATATTTTTACAGGTGGAAGCATAGAAGGACAAATGAAAGATGACTCTATGCAATATGTGTACGAGTTTGCTATTCGCAATGATTTAGTTGGTAAACTTATAGGTCGCAATGGTTCCTTCTTACATAATATTCGTACTAAATCTGGCGTATATATTATCGTTAAACGTTATCCTATGTCAATGAATGAGAAGATTTGTGCTATCCAAGGTTCTAACAAAGGCATCAGTATTGCTTTGGATATTATAAGGCGAAAATTTCCTGAGAAAAAATATCCTGATTTAACGCTTCAACAAATAATACCTATGACGGTGGTAGGAGAAATAATTCCTGTAATACCTACGGTCAAGGAATTATTTTTAATCGAAGCAATGAATAACGATGTTTCCGTGTGTTATGTTATTAAACCAAACAGATTTTTTGTACACATTCCTACGCACCCATCGCATCCTATGTTACGAAAATTAGATACAGACATGGCCGAATTATACAATTCTGCGATACCACCTATGCCAGATAAAGTAACAAGTAAATTGACAATTATTATTTATAAAATTAATATATAGTTCATATATTATCTAATGTCTTATTTGATATTTCAATTATTTGTAATATTTGAATATTATTCTCAACAGAGGGAATGATACTTGCTGCTCCCGTGGATGATGGCAAATGGGCTAGAGTATACGTTGTGGATCCTGATTCTCGTGGGGAAACTAATTTAGTACGACTAGTTGATCATGGCGGTTATCGTACTTATCCCAATTGTAGTCTCAGACAAATAAGGACAGATTTTCTCACTTTACCTTTCCAAGCGGTCGAAGTATTCCTCGCTCATGTAAGACCGAAAAATGGTAAGTATTATAGTTTATTTTAATATTTATACTTACAATTATATATATTATTTGGATTGTATTTTTTTCATTTTGTATGATTTTTTTTATTAGGCGAGTGGCACCCGGACTCGTTGAATGTCTTAGAGCAAATAGTTACAGGACGTGTAGGACTGGCACAAATCGTAGGCTATATTGATACGCAAGTGCACGTAAATCTGTTTTTCAATATTGGCAAACATGGGGTACATATATATATATATATTATTTTTTTTATTTATTAATATTAATATAATCGATTAGATATAATTAATCATTTGAATCCTATTTTATTATTTGTGTGTGTGTTTTTTTTTTCAGATAATTTCTCTTGCCGATGAGTTAATAGCGCGCGAATACGCAGAACCTGTATCTTGGCAATGCCTGGTATCTAGCGGAAATACAGAGGTATCTTTATAGAAAATACTTAAATGAATTATTTATGAAGCATACACTTGCTAAGAAGCGTGTATGACAGAGACATATGTGAATTTTGTGATCGTGTTTGATTGTCTGTGTGAATGAAATTAATTATTAAGTTAAATTTACGGGAAAACGTTAATTTTTAAGTTTCAACGTCTTTATATGTAATAATAATATTATTTTTTTTTTCTCTTTCTTTTTCATACATACTTAAACAATGGTATGAAATTTTTGTGTTTAATCTGACATGAGTATCCTTTCATGATCAGCAGAGACGATACTGAATCAACAATTTTAATACTCTATTATCTAACATTTAAATAATCGATTAAATCTTATAGCATTTCAATGCGAACAAAAATTATGATTAATAATTATCGAAATGATGGTCGAATGCACGTCGAATTAATATATATATATATATATATAAAAGAAATTTTTTATATTAAACGGTAATAAAATAAATAAAATAAATAAATAAACAAAAAAAAACAATCTCAACAAAATTGTATGCTAGATAAATTGCGAATTAAAAATCGATTAGAGAACTAGATTTAAAAAAGAATTATCTACGAATTATCCTTCAGTAAATTAATTATTGCATACGATTGTGATTGGGGTAATTTTTTTCCTCATAAGAAAATCTATGAATAATAATTCAATGCAGTGGTATTACATACAATACAATTCACATCGTTATTATTATAATATTCATCGTTGAAAAAGTTTTATACGTAAAAAAAACTTAGTCCATTTGTATTATATACAAGAATACTTAAAATACTATGACACTTTAGAGAAAAAGATAGAATGTTTCTAACAAAACAAACTTCATTCTTAACTATTCATTAGATTTCGAGACTATCAAAATTATATGGACGCTGCTGCGATAATTAATAAAACACACTGTCAAGATTGTTCATGTTATTTGCTTCATTTGATATGGGTTGATTCTAATATCATCTTATTTGTATATAGTGTAAACATTATTATATTTTCACATATATAAGAGAAAGAAAAAGAAAAGGTAACAAAAAATAGTAATAATAATATTTATAATATATCTACATAATAATTAAATGACTGATACATGTCTGTGCTAGATATCAGTATGTCAGTGGCATGACTAAATCGGAAAATGATAGTTAACTTATTCATTTTTATATATTTTCAACCGCACATACAAGTGACATTTTGTGCTATTCTATAAATGTATATATATACATACATACATACATACATACGCATATAAGAAACAAAAAAAACAAGAACAGACAATTTTGATAATTCATTATAATCCGATGATGACTTAAATTATTTATTTCTTTCTTTTTTTTTGGGGAGTTTCCAAAAAAAAAATATATTATGCAACTTTTATATTTAGATATAAAAGATTATATTATGCTAGTTAAAAAAAAAGAAATACCATATTTATTGGAACATGGTGATTTCATTGTTTCTTAATTTGTTTGCTTAATCTTTTAATACCGATAATATAAGTAAAAAAAAAAAACAAATAAAAAAAACCATTTCAAATTAAATGTCGTCTCGTTAAGAGATTATGTTGTTTAAAAAAACATTGTATAACTTTCATTGCGATATAAAAATTAATCACTCTGTGTTGGATTCTAAAACCAATTGCAATTTGTGATTGTATAATTTTTTTTCTATTTACTTCTTCATTGCTAATTGAAATATTCATCAGTGAAAATGTTTAAGTCGCAATTGTGTAAATGATTAAACGTGCATGATAACAAAAAAAAAATACGAATATATATATATTACATTATTATAATTAGTTTCTTTGTATTCTAACATGTATTATGAAATGGACTATTGCAGTAAAAGGTCTGTATTGAACAAAAAAAAACACCGTAAGAAAAAAGGAAAAAAAATAAAAAGAATAAAAGGAAATTGAAAAAAAAAAAAAGTGGAAAAACAATTTTAAAAAAAAGAAATTATACAAATCACTTATACATACTACTGTAACTTTTGTACTCGAGCTCGGCAGCAAACGATTTTTTCAAAACTGTTATATGTTATATAATAATAATATTAATACAGAAAATCTTGTTAATATAAACTTACAAAAATATATAATGGAAATATTTTTCTAATAATATATAATTAGAGATACACTCTTCCTGCTCAATTGTTTGTATTGCATTATACACTCATTACATGATTGAGCATCGAACTTAATTAATCATATAACATTTTAATTATAATTAGTTCCAATAATTCAATATTGGTACTCGGTTAATAATCGTGTTATTTATCTTTTTCATTCCTTTTCTTTTTTTTCTTTTTGTTCAATATATAAATATATATCTTAAAAATTTACATTTATGATTAGAGAAATTTTAATCAAATGTACATATTTATCATAGTTAAACACATCGTCCTATTGAAAATTATTCATCAAATCTTCATTTATCATTACCAAATAAATGAAGAAAGAGATAATCATTTTGTATATAATTCAATGTAATATCTTGAATATCTTGTTTTCATTAAAGCTGGCTCATTTTCAATCTAAACTTTGCTTATTACTTATGCGTACACATTTATATTTTTTCATTATAATAGTATTATTATAATCAAATTACAATATCATTATTAAGCAATTAATATTTATACTTTGAAAATGTTTCTATTATCATTCAAAGAATTTTTATTAAATTAATACATTCAAAGAGACAGCTGGCAACGTAGTCCTATAATAATCAAAATTATTTAGCTGAATATAATATCATTAACAAATTTTTTTCTATTTTCTAATTCGGTTTATCATAAATTGCCTATTGTTAGCATTATATAAATTAAACGCTTTTTTACAAAATGTAAAAAACAGTTTAACGTGTTTTAAATATAACTTTTGGTTCTTTCAAAAGCATCCAGTTTAATAATTCTTATTATGCATTATAATATATCTTATCTTTTTTTAAAGGAAAGTTTAAACGATCTATTGACTATTTTTTAGATTAACATTTTAAAAATTTGTTCAACCACGAACCATTATTTTTCACGAGGCTTTTTAATTAGTCAATGAAAAATCAAGTTATATATGTTTAAAAATTGATTTAATTAAACTACAAAATTAACGTGCATTACAATATAAATTTAAATAATTTTCGAATAATATTAACAGTAATTAGCAAAGTTTATGTTGCACCTACTTGGATTAGTTTTTTTGTATAAGTTATAAGACTGTTCCAGTAAAAATATGTAGTTTCATTTAGAAAGCAATACGATGACCTTGATATCTCGAAAATAATGACCTTTAGACAAAATTTCTCTCTATTGGTTCCTTCGAACAAAATATTATTATCTTCCTTAGACACATTTTCTTTTATCATACGGAATAATCGATTTATCATATATTCATGGTGGTTCAGTTAGGTGAAAGAAGATATATATATACACAGATCAAATAAAAATTAAAAAATTATAAAAAGTATGTAAAAAAAAAAACACAAGTGAAACAATGTTTGTAAAATTTGTTTTAAATTAATATGTAATTACATTATTTTCTGCACCAGGTCGCTGTAGTCGCTAGTAGGTATTTAGTTATTTAAGTGATGATGGTGTTCCAGTTAAAGTGCGAAGAAAAAATAATAATAGGTTAATAAATAATATTTAACATAACATATTTTCAAGAGAACCGTTTATTTTTAGACAATAAAAAAAGGTAAATCTGTAGTTTATAATTATAATATTTAGTTAAAAAATTAATCTAAGAAGTTATTTCGAATTAATTATCATAATGCAAACAAGTGATTAAATATTGATTTTGTTTTTAGTATTATCACGAGTCGTAATGAATTTGATGAGTATTAATATTGGAAGTATTGGAAATACTAAAAGAACTAATCTTTTGTTTAATTTCAACAATCTGTAATTTCCAAATAGAAAGTGGAAACTGTGTCAACTGTGGATGTGGTAAATGGTGAATAACACTTTTAACCAAATAATTAATGTGTTTATAGAATATATATTCATAATATTACATATATTCATTTATTTTCGTTAACTTATTAGAATTATTATTATAAAGTTAAATTTTATTTATTTTATATATTCAATTTATATATTCACATATATATGAATATTAATATATATACATATTTTTATTTTTACTTCTTATTGATAATATTTATCGTAAAGATAAGAAAACAAACAAATTTTCATTTAAATTATTCATTGGTTAGACACATTTATATTATATTTATTTTAAGTGTTTTTCTTATCAAGTTATTATTTTTATTTTTCTGTTTTTCACCTAACGGACATCATTAATGTTATGCAATATTATAGGAGGATTTCGATCAAAAGTCAAGGTTTATTTCACATGACTGATTTATGGAATATATACACACCCATACATATATATATATATACCCATGTTTGCTTCTTTCAAAAGCAGTTTGGAATGGTCCTGCGTAGAGGCAACAAAATTAAAAATTTCAACTTTTTCTTACCAATTTTAATAAGTGCGTGTGCTATTCCAACATCAATGATGTTTTGGTCGATAAATGTTCTCTATTCAACTCTATCATCGGATACTGACAATTATAATAATGAAGGTATACTTTTTATTTTCATTTTCTCTCCATTTATAATTACGAATAACATTTTATTAATATTATAAATATTTTGTTATAGAATTCTCGCAAATGATTCCACCATGGAGATGGTTGGCTGCTGTTATAATTCCATTGTTATTCATGTTTTGGGGATTAAGAAAAAAGAGTATGAATTTAAATGGAGCTCTTGCTGGTAATAAGTTATATATTACACATTAATTACTTATACTGCGATTTAATGTGCAGAATTAACTGTATTCTAATATCGATACTATATTTATTAATCATTTAATAAATTTATTCTTACAGGAATGGTGGTAGGTTTTATATTGACGCTGACCAACTTATGTCATTTAATATCTTTAGCGACGTTTTTTGTTACTGGATCTAAGGCAACTAAATTTCGTTCGAATATAAAAAAGAATCAAGAAAGAGATTTTAAGGAAGGTGGACAGAGGTCATGGGCTCATGTAGTTTGTAACGCAGGAGTGGCTACTCATTTAGCTTTGTTGTATCTTTTGGATGTGGGATGCGGAGAACGTCCTATTGATTTTGATAAATATTATAGAAGTTCATGGTTATCTATAGGAATATTAGGTAAATTAATATTTATACTTTTGAGATTAATTCACATGATAAGTTTTAAATGTTTCATTTAAATTCATTCGCATTGTATTGCAGCATCATTTGCTTGTTGTAACGGAGATACGTGGGCATCGGAATTTGGTACGGTAATTGGTACCGGTGATCCATTTTTAATTACAACAAGAAAACGAGTACCTCGTGGTAAGTGAATGAAATATTTTGAAAATATTCAAATTGAAATGTATCTATAGAAATGGGATGGATTAATATTTTAAGGAACAAATGGGGGAGTATCGTGGTTTGGTTTGTTGTTTTCTACTCTTGGTGGACTAATCGTAGGCTTGACCTCTTATCTCACTATATTATACACAGTTGATACAGTTGCACTTGAATCAGCAGCACCACAATGGCCTGTTATTGTCATATGTGGAATGGCAGGACTGATCGGTAGTTTAATAGATTCTATATTAGGAGCAACGTTACAATATACAGGTATTAAGCATAAAACAATGCTTATTATTACAATCAATATCCTAACATATTTACAAGCTAATTTATTGCAAATATTTCTATAGGAATAGACGAAGAAGGATTTATAGTTGCAAAGCCAGGGAAAGGAGTTAAACATATCAGTGGTAAACAATTATTGGATAATCATTGCGTTAATCTTGTGTCGACTATTATCATAGCTCTCACCTTACCCAAAGTAGCTAATTTAATTTGGCCGTGAGATGGTAAGTCACATCAATGAGCTGTTATTTAATTCTTTCATTTTTATTATTTCGATACACTTTAATTTTTAATTTATTTCATAAGTATATATATATAGATCAAATTAATTTATTTAACTTTATTATACAATGATTACACAATACGTTGTTTTAATTATAGATTGAGCCACTTAGAAATGTGTTCCTTTTATGCTATAGTAATAGCTTATGTGATTATATTATATTTAAATATAATATACTGAACTTAGAAAATAATAATATTTTTAAATAGCTTTACTCTTATTAAATAATTTGTAACTTTTGATAAAACGTGTCTGTACATTCCAATAAATGTAAAGTGTAACATGTATCTCGCGTGTTAATAGGTCGATTTGCATTTTATTATTATTATTATCATTATAACGTATAGCTTTTATATACAAATTTTATCTTAGAAGATTGTAGGATAGATAAATTATATTTAACGTAAAAAGAAAATGCAATAATTTAAGGGATACATTGTTGAAAAGAAAAAATTATTGTTACAAATCTCGTATTGTGAGTGTACATATGAAAAAGTATATGGCATCTTTTTAAAAACGAAAACGTTCTATCGCGATAAATGGAAAATATGTGTTTGTTCGTTTCTTTTTTAATTATAAGTATGCCCAAGGCAAAACTAAATATAGTTTTTATAATTGTTTCCATAAATGGTGAAAGACAGATAAAAAAATGACTACTAGTTTTAAATATTATTTTTCAAGGATATATATAATATGTAGAGACGAGTATTTACATAGAATAATATACATTGTGTTAATTATTTCGTTCTTAACGATTCAAATACGAATCGTCCATGCAAAAAGGCCTCGTATGAATGTCTACAGACACCATTTAAGAATTGTACCATTCCGTGCGAACGAATTTATATTAAACTATACTTGCCTCAAAACATTTGTATATAAATTATAAACTAATCCGATGGTGTATTATTTATTATTCTAACATATTATTAATTGTTCTCTCTTGTATCTTTCTCATTGAAATATATATTACAAATATTATTACGATTTTTAACGTTTTTAGCATTAAGTATCGATTAAGAAGATTTTCGTTGAATAATAATAATACAGAAATTTATCGTAAATATATCAGATAAGAGATAATTTTTTTTAGATATACATATGTATGTATACATGCGTGTGTGTATATATATATATATATATATATACATTGTACGTAAACGTGTTATAATTACGAGGATTATAGAACGAAATAAAAGAAAATTATTTAACACGTTGATTGTATGTGCCAAGTAACCCGAAAAGATCGATAAATCTTGTTTAAAATTTCATTGAAATGTTCAAATGTGCAGGTGGTGATAAAGTTTATATTTGTGTTAGATTGACAAAAGAAACTATACGACGAGTATAAGTATAAATGTGTCATATTGGATTGACTAATGCTACAAAGGGTTAACTTTGGCCCCCATGTGAAACACGTGGCGATCAATATGTTAAATACGTTCCTATAATTCTCGATAATTATTTGTAGGACACATTTATGCATAAAATTTTGATATAGTTTAATTAGTTAATATATATATATATATGTTTTTTTTTCCTTTTTTTAATTCGAATTATAGTATTGTGTATGTGAAAAATTTAATTACAGACAACATTATTATGCGTTTTATTTTTAAAAATGCATGGATAAAATAAATAAGATAAAATATTTGATTTAAGTACGGGTGTATTATCGCAAAGTTAGTGATTGATCGAGATATGCTTTTCTAAAAATAATTGTGATTGCTATTTGAATTATATAATATATAATATC